GAAATTGAAATTTTTGAAGAAACAAAGCACGTAAAACACCTTATCCTTACTCAGTGGACAATCAGTTCTTAATTTCAAGAAAAATCAGATCATTGTTTGTCCTGATTGATTCAAATTCTGTTTTGCTAGAAAGTGAATTCTGCCACCTCCTCCTTCCTTTTGGGCTAATCATAGTTAAACCCGCTGGCCACAGAAATCAAATCCTTTTAGATTACTTTGAAGATTTAAAGCTTAACAAGGGCTATAGGGTATCTATGCTGAGCCAAACTGATCTTGTTTTTTAAAGGCTCCAGTTTTGATTATGGAGTGTGTTGCAAAAAAGTTTTTATATTGAGAATTGACTTTTCACCAAGTAGTTTTATTCAAATAATTGAGGTTTTTGTAGGATCATAGTATGACTACATGACACTGGATGAAATTACTCATGTTTGTCTCTAAAAATGTAAGTCATCTGTAAAATATGAATCTCGCATATGTGTTGATATAGAGTAATACATAATTGAGGTCTTGCTGGATTTTTTAAAGGAACAAAGGCGTAACAGGTTAGCCCGGGAATTGCCTTCTGCTGTGCCACGAGACAAGGTAATTAAATGTTGATTTTTATTTATTTATTCATTTAAAGTTTAATGCATTCTCCTTTGAATTAAGTATTGGAAACTTTGATATGCGGCCCTAGTGACAGCCTTGGGAGCTTCCAGGTATTGACTCTTTTCTTTCAATTTCATATTTTCTTCTTCTAAAGATGCAAGTTTTGGCAGGTTTTAAATCTAGGATTTTTGAAGATTTGCCTATAAATTTACATTAATATTACACGTATTACTTGAATGTCATCTGAGGTAAGGCTTAAAATGCCTGCAGATGTTGAAGGTGGAGTCGAAACTTGCATGCTTAAATTTATGGCTGAGACATGCTGAGTTCAAAACATAAACAAGTCATTTAAAATATTCCGTGTGCCAACATAGTGACTTGGTGGTTGTTTGGGTTTTTTTTAAGTCACTCTTAAAACTGCAATTTATGGCAATCTTGCTTTCTTTGGGAGAAGATGGTGGAGGTGATGTTTTCAGTTTATCAACATAATCCAGTCACGTATTCTGTCTCTGGAGCTTGCTTAGTTTTACCAGGTTTTGGGATTAGTTCAATGACAAATAAGTAAATGGGTGGAAGAACCAAGTGTGATGGAAAACATTGCCTGGCTGTAGCAATGAATGGTCTGACAATCAGCTGGAATTATAGACAGGTATTTAATACTATGTGAAATATTTAGAAGGCAAACACACAGATTATAGTTTAAGCTCCTCGCAGGTTGTAACAGGAATTAATACGGCTGATAGAAATGTTCATGAAGTTTGTTAACTTAAAAAGTGAGACAAAGTCCTAGAATGGATCTAATATTACTGCCTTTAATCAGTAGAAGCCAGCTGATGGATGAACTGGGAATTTAAGGCAGCTATCTAGAGATTGCTTTCAGTGTTCTTTGATCCTTCTTTTTATTGACCTCATATTTATATCAGTGGAGGAGCTGAAATGAAATTGAAGGCCAGATAACCCAAAAATCTTTTAACTGTCTTGGAGATGCTTTTTTTTTTTTTTCTTTTTTTCTGTTTATGTTACTGTTCTGCTTGCAAATCAAAAATATTTTTGTTTCTGGATTTTCAAAGTTGCTAGTAAGTAAAAGTGTATGAAATTTGCTAGGTAGATTTGGTGGTCTTCAGTTGAATTTTTTTTTTTCCCCCCCTCCCTGCATTTTTACCTTCCTTAGTCTACTAAAGCTCCAGGTGCATTGACACCTGCTTCCCAGGAGGCTGTTACTGCTGCTTCTGCTGAGGCTGATGGCAAGGTCTGTCTTGATTTTTCCTATAAGCACTGCATGCACATTTCTGTTGTGGTGCACCGCAAGATAGTATGGAAAGCAGTTTGTATTTAGTGCTCTGTCACTGACGCAGTATGCCCTACAGAGTATAGACTACTTGGCATTACTGATTTTAGTACGTGCAGTGGCAGGTTAAGGTGTGTCATGAGGTGGCAGTCGCCCCTTTCGGTTTGAACTCTTGGTTGCAACATATTGTGGTGCAAGTGTACAGCGTAATTTGCCTCAAGCTGTAGTCAATAGATTGTTTGGTGCAACAGTATTGTAATGAAAAGTGTTCAGCATGGTTGTTAAACTGCATGTTTTTAATGTGTTGACAGTTAAAGAAGGAGGAAGAAGATAAGCTAAAACTGTGAGTTTCCTGCTTCCCGCAGGGAATCTTTATAGGCTTTCTTCAGACTGAACCTCCTTTTTGTCATTTCCCGTAATTGTTCAATCCCTGGTTTACTTATATTTGTGAAATGTGTTCTGCAGTGGTTTTTTTACATTTTAGGTGTGCTGTCTCTCATGTTAAAATAACAGTTCCTTACTGTAAAGACTTTTTTGCTAATTGCTTTTGCTTGTAGTCAGAAAAGAAGGGTAGTCAGAAGTTGTATATTAGGAGTACCAAGAGGAACTCGGGCTTTCTGTTTCATTGCATATGCACATTTAGCTTCTCGTACAAAGCTGCCATTTCTGTCCTGAACAAAGTAATTAAAGTAAAAATCTAGTCAGTAGTAGAGTTTAAACTATTTTTTTATCAGAGTTTTAGAGGTTTTGCTATGCTGCAAACATTAAAAAGAAATCAAGAGCCTACTGTGAGGGTACTGTTGTGACTTAAAAAGTTGCAGGAAAGCTGCCAAATTTGGTTTAACTTGTGTTTCCCACAAAACCTGTCCTTTATTAGGTGGTACCTACTCAACACACTTTCTTGTGAAAGAATGTAGCTTTGTTTCTGAAACTGCTTTGGAAATAGAGCAGGCTCCACAGTAACACTGAATGAGCGGCATAGGGATTTTTGCCATTTTGAATAGCTGTCTTGCAATCAGAAATAATGTAATGGAGCTTTCCTCATCAATGGGTCTCTCTTAGCAGAGGTTGATTTGAATTCTTCTAGTTTTTTACAGTGCCTCTGAACAGTTGTGCAATTCTAATAAAATTTCTGATGTGCACAGATTAGCTGGGTTTCCTCCTAGTATGCAGCTATTGGTATTCTGTTTGCCATACTTTGTTTTTTCTCACTCTTCTTTTTTTTAGACTCAAGATCAGCCTGTGGTGTTTTAATTGTAAATACAATAGATAAATTTAGCTTATTTCCTTCCATATCTGAAACAAGACATAAACAGTAGTAGTTCAGAGCCTTGAATGACCTTGAATGTTTTTTGAACAGCAATAGATTTTTAAAGGAGAGTAGTAAATAGAATCGGTACTAGGCTTATGGAAAGGTACAAAATAAAAATTATCACTGTTCCACAGCAAAATAATTTTTTTTTTAAATACAAATTTAACATGTGGTGGATACTATCTACTAATATTTCTTTTGTCTGTTGAATTGTCTGGGTGTTATGTCCTTTTCTCAGGAGATCAGTGAGTCATTCTTTACCTGGAACTTCTAGAAACTCTGATTTTCACTTCCAGAGGATGGAGATTTTTGTTTTGTTTTGGTACAAAAAAAAGCTGCATGTAAATTGAAGTCTAGCAACACAAATACGTTCATAGCTGTGGTACCCAGGAACATAAATGTGCATATTTGTTGCTGTTATTGTAAGAAACTTCAGTTTACATTGAAATAAAATACCAAAGAATTTAAATTAAAGTTTTCCAAGAGCTGTGGTGATCTTCAAAACATACTTTCAAAATGATGCTGATAGTATAGGTTGTATTGCTCCAAGGATGTACGGTAAAAGTGGTAAAAGCCACATGATTTAGGAACACCATTCCATATTTCAAAAGTGATTTGTAGACTCTTAAAATGCTGGGGAGCTTCTCTATGTGAGGCATTTTCGTACCATTATTAGGAAGAATATGAGTTTTAAAAGCTTTAATTTTATTGATACTTTGTGTCAGCTGTTAGCAGCAAAGGGAGAACAAAGGTGGGGAATGTGAAGAATAGAATGAAGGGAATATACATACGAAAATCTCGTTTTTAGTGAGTCTTACCTGTAGCTCAGTAATAGCAGATTTGATCAGACACCACTTTGCAGTGCCCAAGTTCTAACTCTTCAATGTTTCTTCATTGTGCTGTTTGTGCAGGTTGCTCCTGGAGCGGGAGATACGTCTCAGGAGCCTGGAACAGGCAACTGGAGGGGAATGCTGAAACCCTCAAAAGCAGAGGAGGTGTCGGCAGAGGAAAAATCCAAGCCAGCTGCAGCCCTGCCTGCTAGTCCTCAAAAAGGACATGCTGTAAACCTATTAGATGTGGTGAGTCATGAAAGACAAATATTTCCTCTTTGTAGTTCAGGCTCAGGAAAGAAAACATCTGAATTCCAAATCTTGTAACTTTGCTACTAATATATGATATCTTTGTAAATAGTTACCACTACAGGGACAGGGAGCTGTAGCCAGTCTCTTCTGCTTTCCTGCTTGCCCAATCCTTCATCTTAGTTCATAGTTTCAGCCTGTAATTTGGGATAACTGGCTTCCTTTCACAAGTTCCTGTGCAAGTGAACTCCTTGTCTGGATTGCTCTTTGTACAGAAGCAAATCTCCGCTCATGTCTTAATTCGAATTCCTGCTCTTTTTTGCTGAAGATGGCATTTTTATATTGGAGGAAAAGAATCATTAAAGACAAAAACCTTTTAAGTTAAAAATAGATGGAGATCCTTTAAGTGTCTGGAGAGCTTAGTCCCTTTAGTGAGTTTTTAAAAAAAGTTTAGTAGAGGTGTCCTCTGACCTTTGTTGTTTCACAGATGGATCTTGACATGTGTCTAATTTTATTTGTGAAGAGTTAGCGGTATGTTGCAAGACAAGTTACATCTATCAAACTACCAGACTAAAAGAGCCGTTGTTCATTTTAGACTCCACAGTTTGACTTTCATTTACTTGTGCAAATGAGCAGAAGTGGTAAACTGAGGTTTTTATTTTTTTACATAGCCTGTACCTGTTGCACGCAAGCTTTCTGCCCGTGAGCAACGAGATTGTGAAGTGATTGAACGACTTATTAAATCTTACTTCCTTATTGTCAGGAAGAACATTCAGGACAGGTAAAACAAAACTTCCTGGAAATGTTTAAGCCATACAAATGTTATATCTCAAGAGTCATGTATATAATCTTGTTATTTTGTCATGTTCTTATGTTCATAAGCAGAGAGAAAATATGATTTATTTATTTTTTTTTTTTAAAGAACGGGCAGCAGCAGTAAAACTTGACCCTCTACAGAATTAAAAAGCTTGAAGAAGCACTTTTTTTTCTCTAATGGTTTGAGTTCTGTATTATGTTAAATGAAAGGTTTAATTATTTAGGAGATGCCTGCTTTTCTGGAGGATACTGCTTAAAGATTTGTCTTTTTTTTTTTAATAAAGAATGATGTAAAACTTAGCTTTGCTTAATACTTTGTGGAAAAACCTAATGTTTTATATATACATATATATATATATATGTATGAAATTTTGGGAGAAATAGGGGAATCTGGAAACCAGGGTTTAGAGTGAGGTAATAAAAGTTCTATTCTATCCAGTAAATTAATATTCTCCTCAATACAATTTTTAGTATTTCGTGGCAGGGAATTGCTTTGTTTACCTTAATTTTACTGAAGTGTTAGTACCAGTAGTATTACCTCCTTCCATAGCCTAAACAAACCCTTCACATTCTTTGCAGTAAATACGCATACATAACAGAAAAAAACCAAAATGCTATCTCAAGCATTATGAATTTGTTGTTAGCAAATCCTCACCCAATTCAGAAATATTTTTAGGAGATACCTCTCGAAGATGGTACTCGTGTCTATCCCATATCATACTTGCAGAACTAATTCAGGCTCTTACTTGGATGGTTTGGATGGTATCTGTACCCACACAGCTTTGAACCTGAGTTTTGGGTTGCTTTCGCTCTTAGCCAGGTGACTTCCAAAATATTCTAGGCTTCTTTCTTAAGCTCTTCTTTTGGTAGAACTTCCAGTGTATTGGCTTGAAAGGAGAATGTAAATTGAATTACTTGAGTACCAATAGATCTATACAGTCTGATCATGATTTTGCAGAAGTCTTCCCACAACTGGGTAGTAAGAACCATAAAACAGCAGAATATAGTGGGAAAATTCCCAGCCAAACTTGGAAGTATCATGCCAAAAACTCAGATGTGTTGATGGATCTTGGTTGATCTTGGGTCTGGATGTTTAGACTTGTATGGTCCTTGTCAAATTAATTCTGCAGTGACAATTGCAGCACTCTGAGAATGAGCAAAACCTCTTGGTCTGCCTTGGTTTAGATTTAGGGCTATGAGCACATGAGAAGAGTGATGTGGTCACTACTTAAAAGAGTCAGCACTGATTATACATCAACTCCCAGTCCACTCTAGGTGCAAAATACTGCTGCTAAGAATTACACCAACAAGGTTGTCTAAAGTAACATGGTTTATTTCTCAGCTGGGAACAATCATTTGTATTTTTATTGACAGTTACTGTCAGTCTGATGAAATAACCTGAGGTGCACTAATTCAATTATTGATCCTGTGTTTATATCCCCAGATTTTGGTACTGCGTGAATATGATGATTTGATTTTCTCAGTACTCATGTAAATATCTTACCCCACTTTTCAGAATTTTACTGCTACACATATCTTAACTCCTAAAGAAAATCAGGTTCAGCTAGATTCAACACTTGGATTTATTTTTTTTTTTTTTCAGGAAGTTTAGTGGCATGGAAATCAGAGCTAAGACAGTGGTTTCTTTCAGGTGTTTTAGCCTGACATAGAGCTGAAAAATGTTATTCTACAGATTCTGTAGTGTCTTTCTGATGGATTGTTCTTGATTCTCATCGGTTGCTGTCTGCCTCCATTCCAGACAAATATATTTTTCACACTTAAACTCCATTTGTAGTTTTAAATTGCCCTCATGTTATGCTCTCTGGTATCAGAGATAATGTGGCCCAGTGTTTGAACAGTGATCGTGTTTCCAGTTTCTCTGCTAAGTAAGACTGGATATATCAGTTCTTTCTTTGCCTCTTTTCTTTCTCATGCACACATTCAGATTGATTTTAGGGTTGAAATACTTACCTTTTTGTCATGCCTAGCTCAGTGGAGACTCAGATTGGTCTCTAGTGAGCAAAGTAATTTATTCTTATTTTTTTTTCTTAGACTCTATATATTCATGTTCTTTACCATGCAGCTATCCTATCTGGAAGAAATTCAACAGCTCTTAAAGTGCACAAGATACTGCATTTACTTGAGAGAGTTGTTATTTATGGTAGTGGTAAATTCCTGGTAGTTTGAGCCAAGGTTGTATGTAGCCACTTGCTCACACTCTGCATTCTTCAGTCTAGAACGGGCCTGATATTGAATAATTCTATCTGAAGAAACAATCTTTATGTGCTTGCAGCGTGCCAAAAGCAGTGATGCATTTTCTGGTGAACCACGTGAAAGACACTCTTCAGAGTGAGCTGGTAGGCCAGCTTTATAAGTCCTTGTTGTTGGATGACCTTCTGACGGAATCTGAGGACATGGCACAGCGCAGAAAAGAGGCAGCTGACATGCTAAAGGTATTAAAAAGATCAGTAGCTCATGGGAGTACTTAGTTAAATTGAAACCATTTTTGGAAGACTTGCCTTCTTTTTTGTTTTGCTGCTTTTTAAGAGTATGCCAGTGTATTGCTTCTCTCTGCTAGAGGAATTAAAAGCAATACGTGACCAGAAAGCATTAGGCAGATTGAGCAGTTGGGAAGAGGTGACTTAAGCTATATTTTAGGCATAAAGCAGAAGCTCTGATCTGGTGTTATTTTCAGTTAGACATTTGGTTTTAATAATTTGCTTCTATTTAACTTTACTTTACAGTGTTCAGCAGCTCTCTTTTGGGGGATTAAGCTTGCAGCGTTTTAAGTGCTGTTCATGTGTATGCTTCACCCAGAGCCGACTGGCAAATGGCTGGCGTATCTAGACAGTACCCCGTTCCCAACAGTGGAAATGTTGGGACTCGCTTACGATGGCCCGTGTACATCTGTCTGGCAGCGCATTGGTGACACGCCTGTGCTACAGAACTCTCAATTTCTTCATTGTTCAGTTAACGTGGTGTATCAGAGTCTGCTATGGCTGCAGCAGACACACGCTGCTTTGGATTGAACTGCATAGAAAAAGAGTCCCTCTGCCAGTTCAGCTCACTGAAGTAGCAAGAGGTGCTTCTCTCTCATATGCAGTGTGGTCAGACAGTGCGTGTTTGAGAGATTGGATACCTTGAGATGCCGCTTGTCCAAGACCACCTGCAGCAAGCTTAATCTCCGCTATTACATGATGAACATTTGAGTGAGGGGAACTGTTAACAACAGTCTCTTAAACTGTAAACTTTATAGGGCCAAACTCATAGCTCAGATTTCCCTAAATTTGAGTAATACCTTAAATTATGTTAGTATTAGTTGGTATTCGGAGCTTTTAAATTTGCAAACTTTAGCAGACTAGACTGTAACAAGTGCATCAGAATGCTAACTGATATAAAATGCGTAGTTTCCCCTTTCTTTTGAGGAAGGTTTAAAGCATTAAAACTGTGTGTGGTGAAAAAGTCTGCCCTTCTTGAGAATTTATTTATAAATACGAAATGTTAAGACAAACATAGGTGTTATTGGGAACACTGAGTACGTAGAAGTTGCCTAAAATAATGACAATGAGCTCTCTTTGCTTCTAAGTGGAAGTTAGTTTTCAATTAATTTTTAATTCTTACACCTCTAGAGAAATGATTTAATGACATCCGTGCCGAGTTTCACCATTACCTTTTGCTTTGTAGTATTTTCCACTTGCCTAACCTTTTGCAGATGGAAGGCTTCAGAGCTGTTAATCAATGTTGTTGCAGGTTGTGACCACTCATTTTATAATGATTAGCTTGAATTTGATTTTTGATGTCACACTTCCTAGACTGCTGCTGTTATCTTGTTGAGAAATCTCTTCAGAAAAACTAAGTAACTTTGGCTTTTCTGTCTTCCCGTGTGCAGGCCCTGCAGCGAGCCAGTCAGATCATTGCAGAGATTCGTGAGACACATCTTTGGTGAAGACCATACCAGCCACACTATTTATATGCATCGGAGGTTACATTGACTTGAAAATTGCTAGGCATGGTATACGGAGTAGAACTTTTTATTTATGAACTCTTATCTGTGTACTGCAACTGTGTAAATCTGCTGATGTAAAGACAGTTGGTTTGATTTGCAAAGAGAAAAATATGCTGTATTTTGCAAAATAAGTCATATTTAATCCACATAATAAATGGCTCTAAATGTTTCCATACCAGCTTTCTGGTGCAAATTAAAGCAGACCAAGTCTACTGTCTCAGTGACAGTCTCATTTGAACTTGGGGGAAAAAACATTAAAGTTCCAGTGCCTGACTTGCTAAACAGGTTGCCTGTGGTTAAGATGGACGGTGTAGTCTTGTGGCATAGTTTTAAGCTGCTTTTTCAATAGAAGTTTAAATACTGTGAGGAGAAGAGAGCACCGAGTATTTTCTTTCATGAATATATTGCATGCACTATGACAGACGGAGGTATCAATTTTATAGCACAGTAGAGATGTCTACCGTATTACAATGTATGTGTGTCCCCATTTTTTTTCCCCCCAAATGTTAAAACTGCAGACAAAACTTTGAACTTCATTTAATGGAGTATCATGTAGGAAGAGTTAGCCTGGAGCTTGCGAACAAAAACAGCCTACTAAAAAGTGGGTGCAAAGTTATTCATGTGCACTGGAGCTTGTGTATAAATGTTGGGGATTCTAATCAGGTACAAGAACAGCTTCCCCTTCCACCCCTCTGGGACCAAGCCCCTGGACCATCTGATAGTGAACTTGTTTTGGCAGAACTGAAAAATAAAAACGGATTTCAAAACTGTTATGGGATAGTAAGTGTTTCTTTTAAAAACAGATTAAGTTGGCCAGGGAGAAGGGGATCCCCACACCTTCTTCCAGATTTTGGAATGTATGACAGTATGAAAGAAAATCTGTGGGATTGGAATATTTATACCAGAGATTACAGCTATTTTTGAGGAGATTTTACTGTGCTGTAAGTAGCTTTTTTTTTTTTTCTTTTTTTTTGAGGACAATCCTAAAATTAGGGAACTTTAGATTGGAAATTAAGTTGATGAGTTATTTTTTCTGATTATAATTCATACAGATAAATAGTGATCACACTAGCCTTTTAAACATATCACTTTTTATGAATAATAATTTATTTAAACTCAAGCCAGCACACTTGCATGTACTTTTCAAGCAGATTCACTTTTTCTATAAAGTAAAAATGGTGTTGCTCATGTTTTGTATCTTTGACACAAGGTGCATGAAAAGTAGGACACCGCTGTTAGCATCTGGGGCTTGCTTTTAGGATACCGGGCCAATGTGGTGAAGCTTTTATTACCAGACTCGGTTCCTTCCCCGCTTCATCAGTTACGAGAAACGGAATTCTTCTTGTAAGCAGCTAAAGGTGGACAATTTAAAAACCATTAAGACCTCAGTTTATGAGAAGGTCTGTTGTCTGTTTAAAACTGCGTTTTTCTCCTGGTACCCTTCACTTTGGCACCAACAGAAGCACCAGGAGTTGAGCCTGACAGAGGCAACTTTTGATGCGTGATGAGAAATACTTCACGCAGAACACAGAAAAGTCTTCTGTAGTTGTGAACAGCCTGAAATGTCATGATGTGAATGCGTTCCCTGTAGCGAATACAGAGGAAGTCATTTTAACGTCTTGCATTGTACCCAGGGCTGGTAGTTCTCCAACTGGAGAAACGGGACTGTAGCGGAGTTGGAGGCCGAGCCGCTCTTCAAATGCATTTTGGTGAGCAGTGAAAGCTCTTAATAGTTTTGCCAAAATTGTTACATTTCTACTGGGAATTCGCTTGACGGGGCTCTCCCTTTTACTTTTGACGTCCAAGACGTTTGTTGTCAAGAAGGCAGAGCCGTCCAGAAGTGCGCTGCTACCGAAGCTTTACCTCCCAAAGGTCAGTCAGCAGTCTCTCGTGAAGGAATATTCTGGCTTGGGAAGTTTTCAAATGCTGCGTAAAGCAAATGAGTTCCATTTATCTAAGAAATTCCTGCAAGTGATAACTGGCTCTGTAACGTCACGTGGAATTTCCACCAGGTTAATTAACTTTCATAAAAATTTTTGATTTGGTATTGTTCTGAGTGCCAAGAAATGAACTTGGATTTGTAATCCTTAATGTTCAAGTCTTTGAAAATCCATGCTGTAACAACCCTGTTATTAAATAAATGGATAATACACAACATTAGTTATCCCGGAAGTAAAGTTTTGACTCTGTAGTTCAGGTGGCCGGACTTACATGTTCTTACAACTTACTGGTAGAACTACCTATATTTATAGAGCCTTACGTGTGTTTGCTCTTGCCCTTGTGCAATTCTGCTTTGTTAGTTCCTGTACAGTTCCCCGAGTGACAGTGTAGATGGGCTGGTAGTGGCTTTAGGGACATGGTTTAGCGGTGGGATGGCAGGGTTAGGTTAATGGTTGGGCTTGATGATCTTAAAGGTCTTTTCCAACCTATAATGATTCTCTGATTTTATTAACGGTTTCTAAGCAATCTGTTGCCTGGAATTGAACTAAAATACTTGAAAGGCTACCGTTACTGCCACCATTGAAAGAAGAAATGACGGGGAAACTATGGACAGATAATAGCCTCGTGAAGGCGGCAACTGAAAAATTCCCAAAATAGACTGATGGTTTACAAATGTCTTCTAGTTCACCTCCTAAACTATTCTGTGATTCTATTAATGGTTTCTAAGCAGTCTGTTGCCTGGAATTGAAACACACAAGCGTGGGGCAGAATTGTCACAGCAGCTAAGTTGAGCCTTGTAAATGTTTGGTGTCAATACCTGACCTATGTGTGGTACTACTGTAACCAAAACACAGCATCCCTATGTGATCAGAGTTTGTCAGTACAATAGTACAATAAATACAGCCTTTTTAGAACTCAGTTTCAGATTTCACTGAGTGGAGCCGATGGGTAAGGGGGGGTGTCCATCTGCTTCAAGCTGTATTGTGAAGCAAACAACAAAACTTCTGTAAAACTTGCCTTTACCCTATGCTTTATGGAGGATTGGCTCTGAAAGATGCCAGATTGGATCCCGCAAGCTCGGGTCCCTGCTTTATGGCAGACAGCAGGGGAAACAACCTGCCAGCCTGTTGTGCCCCTGTGGGTAACTTGAATTATCATCCGGAGGGTTTGTTTTCTTCCACAGTTAAAGCCTTATAGTTACGAGAGCGATTGCTAGCACTTTCTGTAGAGGCTGACAATGTCAAATGCATCTGCGTTTTAACTTGTGGCCAGCTAAACTCTGTGCTTTGAGGTGAGAGCTAGGTGGTGAATGCTTCAAAGCTTAAGGGAAAACCAGAGTAGACCACCCGGGTATGGTTCTGTGCCCCGTGACGCTGTTTGAAGTAGCGCAGGTGCTTTCATGCTCTGAGAGCTCCCTTTTAGCGTCCTTACGGCACCCCCTTGCACCCTTTGCCTCTTCATTGCCAGCTGCCACAAGCATGTCA